ACCCAACCGGCCGGTTGAATGGCGTTAACGGCCCGGTTGGGTTAACGGTCGGTTGGGTTAACGGCCAGTTGGGTTAACGATCAGCTGGGTTAACGGTCGGTTGGGTTAATGGGCCCCAAACGGTCGGTAACCGGCATGTTTATGCCATAGGGAGTATCCCGGTAGCGCGGGAAGCAGCGTTCACCAATATTAATTAAAGGCCTCTAACGCTGCAGGAAAATTTTAGTAGAAGATTTAGAACTATGTATGTATTTAGTTTTAGCGTTTGTTCCCGCTTTGAGGGCGTGAAATGCCGTGACATTGTCCCTAATAAGTCATTGTCCCGGCATTTCAATTGTCGCCCATAAGCATGAACCAGGCCACCAACTAACAAGCTTACATGCAACAACTAAACTAACACAAGGTCGTCCATATGGCACCTTTCCTTGGACAAGGCATCCTCCAATTGGCACGTGGTAAATTGACTTAGATTGTTTGCCCTGGCAAACTTATGTACTCCAAACTCATCCACTGGACGATGCTGGCTGTAATTCTTGCGTGGGCGATCTTGTCGCCGACGGGCGATGTTGTCCATGGCGTTCCGGTCAAACTCGTAGGCGCCGACCTCATTACCGTTGTCCATGGACATTGTGTTGGAAGGATACGTGAAGGTTCCGATAAAATGAAGAAATGAAGAAGCGCTCCTTCATAGTATGGAGATGGTAGAATCTTCAAGCAACTTTTGAACGACCAGGGAGAGTTGCTGATAGGCGAATTTGTATGAAGCTATAGAATTCCTTTAGGTAAATGAATGCTTATGTATTCGTCCGTTAGTAGCGTGAAGCTTTGAACACTCTTTGTACGGCAGATTCGGCACAATGTTTTGCCTCATTGCGATGTTGCCTGAAAATTTTGAACAGAAGGGATCACTGCTCATGCTGGTGCAGCAAGACATGTAAGGAGATGGCCTGGTCACAATCCAGCAGTCATATATCGACAATCTCAAGCTATGACAACTCGTTACATGTGTCTGTAATAAAAAAGGGACTTTGCGATGGTGTGGGTAGCTCTTTGAGTGGTGGGACTGTGGAAATCCAGTTTGTTTCGCCCGTAACAAGTTTGTTACGGGCGAAACAACGTCCCTCTGAAACGTTTGGATATGCCTATGCAACACATTTCCTCCATTTCATGAACTGCAAGTATTCTAATCCAACATCACCCCAATCTCAGTGTAAACTAGTCTCCAAATGTGCCTGCACAAGACTGTCACCCCTGTCACCCGGCATTCACATTGCCTTAACCTCCTAAGCTTGTCGGGGTGTGACACGTGGGCATGAACCTTGTGACAATGGGCATTGTCACAAAGAAACTGGTTGCAATCAGAAATGCATTTTTCCTCATGCCAGGTTACCGACATCGGTTACCGATTACTGGGGACGGTTAACGGATAACCCGATTACTGGGGACGGTTAACGGTTACCCATCTCGTTAACTGGACCCATTAGGTCGGAACCGGGCCGGAACCGGCCTGGAGTATGCCATTGGGCGTGTGCGTGTGCGTGTCTGTGTGTGTGCGTGTCTGTGTGTATGCGCGCGTGCGTACGCTATACACACGCGTGCTATACGGATGTGTGTGTATAGCAGCTGCAGTACAAGGTGTATATAAGGGGCAACTCGGTCCCCTCAGGAGAAGCAAGAGGGAGTTTGGTCTAGTGGTATGATTCTCGCTTCGGGTGCGAGAGGTCGTGGGTTCGATTCCCGCAACTCCCCTTTTGGACGTGGTGCGCGACGGCGTCTGCATGCATGCCGACGCATGGATCATGTATGGATCATCGGGGTGCAGAACGGATGTAAATTTACACTTAAACCTGGTGGAGGGATGCATCCAATTCCCCAAAATGCACGAGGTGATGATGATGGTGATGATGAGAATGCACGAGACGGTTCCGGTTCACTTCTCTGCCGCACACAATTGTGTGCAACCATCTACTACCCGGACATGCACCAGGCACTACTCGGGAGAGCTAGCTAGCTAAACAGGCGACCAGCCGGCAGCTTGGCGATTTTGCTGGTAAGCACGTGTTTTTCGGAGGGAGGGAGGGAGGGAAAGAAGTAGGTGATGTTAGGGGCCCGTGGCATGCTCTGGCTACTCACACGATCCTCAACCATACATCCGGTCCTTGGACACCCACGCACTGCACATACAGCTCTATCTAAAGTCTCTCCTGGCAATTAAAACTGTTGCTTGTACAAGTGTTGGGTACAATGTATGTCCGCAGTCTTTTATGGTGTTCCCCCTGTTGGACTGATCAGTCATGAGGACTGAGGTTGGCTTGTGGGGTCCATGGTACACCTTTCCCGGTGCCCCCGGGGCCCCCTGCCAGCCTCTATTTGCTGGGCTATCTTTACCTCGGTTATAGTGCTTGTTATTATTGGTCTCATTGGGGTTTCCGTGCACTGATGATCATCAGTGCATGGAAACTGGGGAACAGGTCATGACCTGATGACATGTTTTGCTTCCCTCGAGGGCCAGAGCTCTGGCCTCTACCTGCTGAACTATATATCTATGTATACTGTTCTGTACAGTGCTCGTTGACTGAGCTCACAGCTGTAGCAGGGGTTTTCGTGCACTGCCCACCGGTGATCTACGAAATGCTTGGATATTAATTGTGTGGTGCATATATTATCTACACTCGTGGAACGCCACCACTTAGTATCTTCTTAATACCATCTTAGTGCTACCCACTTCATATGTCCTTCATAGCTACCTGGTAACATTCTTAATAGGCCGCTTAGTAGGTCACTTAGTATCATGTTACATACTAATGGTACTCGAAGCGCTTAGTCCCGAATACTAAGTCCTCCAAACAAATATTAAGTGACATTTATTAAGAACTTCATGATCAAGCAATTATGAAGTAATGAATATCAAGAACTTCAAACAAATATGAAGTAACATTTACTAGGGGCAAATGCTTGCTCAATGGAATTACTTTCTGGAGGTGTAAGATTGACATTTCACTGCCACTGTTGAGCTGTTCGGGCTCACATTTACGAAAATTTTAAATCTGGGACAGATGTAAGCTAAATACCTTGCAGCGCTGCAAGAGCTTTTGTAACATTCTTGCTTAGTTCTGTGAGATAAGAAAAAAGATATTAAAGTTACTTTGTGTGTTTGGCAGTTAGCTAGTAGAGCTGCGACATACGAAGCTCTTATCGCCGTTGGTAAGTATCACTGTAGTTGGTACCAAGATGGCCCTAAGTAATTACTAAGCGGATAAGTGGCATCTTAAGATAGTTCCGTTCCACGAGTGCTATATATATATATATATAGTTCCGTTCCACGAGTGCTATATATATATATAATAGGCAATAAGGCAGGCGGCTGGCAGAAGTTAAGGCCTGACTTCTGCTCCCAGTCGATCCAGTCGACCCGGGTTCAAATCCGCCTGCCAGCTCCTCGGGTATTTGAGGAGTGATGAAATGGGAGGTGGCCCCCCATCATATGGACGGTGTAGGACGTGATAATATCAACTTGCGAGCTGACCAGGAACTAAGTTGATGCGCCGTTGATCCGCTAGATTTGGTTGGATGCTGGTGGTGAGTTGCCGAACCCAACGAATACATTCTGAAGTCGGATGGGGTGACGGATTAGGGTGCCCCTCTAGCAGGGGAGAGCAGGGACTGCCCCGGGAAAGGGGGCCGCTGGCGAAGTTAACCACCCTGTAATAACATACATATAATAACTAGCTAGATAGTACAGCGGGGTAGCGATACCAGGTATATATACCAGGTATATAATGAGTTATTACATATTATTGTATATGTGTGTTTATGGTTAATGATATATTATTACGTATATCATCATTCATGTGGTTCATAATTACAGCCATGAGGTTGTTTGATAGAGTCGACTCTATCTATCTCCTTGCTTGTAAGTGGATGTTTCTATGATGCGCCATATCTTTCCCGATCCCCTTCAAGAAATTATCATCATAATAGTTGCGCGATTGCGCCTCGTGCATTGTCGTACGTGAATGTGTGTGTGTGTGTAGCGTGTGTGTGCACACGTGTGCGTGTGCGTGTCTGTGTGTGTGCGTGTCT